AACTAATGAAGAGCGGTGAGGAGAGAGAGAGACGCTCGGCCAGGATCTGACAGCCGGCGCCTCTATCTCCCCTCACTGCTCGTCCGTTCCGTCACAGCGGCTCCTCCCCCGCGGCTGAAGTGCTCTTTCACTTCTCGCCGGATCCCCCGCTGCCCAGGAGAGCAGGGGGATCCAGAGGAGAAGCTGAGCCCCCTTGTGCGTGGACGAGCGGCAGAGGATCGGTACATGTCACTAGTATGTACCAATCCTCTGTGCAGGACAAACACTGGAGCGATCGGCTGATCACTCCAGTGTTGTAAATAACTGGGGACACATAGTAGTATGTGTCCCCAGCTATAAATGAATGAACAGGATGCGATTTACATCACGTCCTGTTCATGTATGAGTTTCTCAATGGGGAGAAGCACTCTGTACAGAGGCTCCTCCCCATTCAGAAACTGCTTGATAGTAAAAGTGTGGAGCTGTATTGAAGTCAATGGCATCGCCCACATTGCGTTCGCCCGCACTCGCAACGCAGGCACATTAGTGCCTGCATTCCGGTCCAGTGCGATCTGCAAAAATAGTGCTCGCAGAATTTTTGCGAATCGCACTGGACTGGAACACAGGCACTAATGCAGGCGATCGCACTGTGGGCGAGGGGCCTGCCTGCGGAGCCTGGCTGCGGTTCCATTGACTTCAATGCACCGCCACGCCCCCTCCCACCCCTGAATGCAGGTGTTTTTTCGTTGGTAGATCTCAATGAGCTCGTCATTTGAAAAGTAGATCTCCAGACGAAAAATAGTGGGCGCCCCTGCTGTAAAAGCTCACCCTATTGACGCTGTCAAACACAGAGCCAGGACAGGAAATCTTCTACTACTCATGTCTTGTGCTTGTCTATGCATTCGATGTCAGAAGCCTCTGACAAAGGTTTGCATGACTAGTTTAACTGCAGAGGTGCTCACTGCTTCTTATCCCTAGAGTGCCGACCAGCTTGCCTCCATGAACTAGGCCCCAAAGCAGTCATGTGGGATGCTATGAAGTAGATGTAGGTATTGAAGCGCCACACCAATTATAACAGTCCAGATACAACTTTATTCCATTAGTCTGGAGACATTCAAGTAGTCAATGCATTTTGGGGATCCAAAACACACCCCCTTCATCAGGGCTTCATGAGAGAAATCATGTATGCGGACTACAATCCCTGCAGCTTGAAGGTTGTATTGAGTTGTGATGGGAGTACTTCAGTCTTGTCACCTGGTTTGTCAGTAGTGCTGCCACTGGTTTAAACATAGATGAGAAAAGGTTATGCAATCCTATATTTGATTAGATAACTGCTTTCTGGGTTAACTGAATCATTATATACAGAATAACCCAAACAGTTATGAATAAAACTGCAACTTAATGTATTTGTTACTGTAAAGGCTTCAGCAGCAACAGCAAGCTATTTCTATTGAGGTAATAACATAACTCTGGTCTGTAAGAGGAGGTGTGAAATAGGAATTTCACACCTCATCAATCCACATGTCATACTGTACATTTCTCCACTGCCTCAATCAGTATGCCATGCTGTACATTCCCTAGTCCGTATTTCCTTATTCAGTATGCCATACTGTACATTCCCCACTGACTCCTTCTGTATGCCATTCTGTACCTTCCCTTTTCTGCACCACCTCATTCCGTATGCCATGTTCCATTTTTTATTTTCTGCAAAGCATCATTCCGTATGCCATGCTGCATGTCTCCTGTTCCACATTGCCTCATTCCATTTGCCATGGGGTATGTTCCCTATTCCACAATGCCTCATTCCAAATGCCATGCAGCACGTTCCTTAGTCCATACTGATGACGCATGGCGTACGTTTGTACTGCCTCATTGTGATATAATGCTGTTTATTCCCTATTTTGCACTGCCTCATTCTACATGCTTTATTGTACATGTTATATTCCACACCACTTCATTTTGGGACACTGTGCTGTACAATCCTTATTGTGCTAGTCTCACGCTGTATACTGTGCTATACTTTTCCTTTTTCAAACAACCAAAATATTTACTCTGTGCTGCACATTTATTATCAAATGCTGACCCATATTGTGTGCTGTGCTGTACATTTTATATTCAACACCACCCTTTTCAGTACCCCAATGCAGTGTGCTGTACATTGTATATTCCACAGCTGTAAAAAGGTTAAAAGTTAATTTCATTGAATGATGCCCGCTGTTCCCCAACAACTTCTTTTTACAGCACTGGTCCTTAGTAGTGTTAGTTTCTTCCAATAACGTCTTCCTGGCCCTGACTATGCATTAGCCTGACAACTTGGTGCCTTGCCTTTGGTTCATACTAACTGTACGCCATCTCCAGCTAGGTGAGCCTGCTGTTTGCTACCTTGGGGAGTACCTTCACACAAGACCGAAACTTTGGTGAAGACCAGACTTCCCTTGGCTCTTGCATCCCTAGGTAATAAGACACAGGGGGTATACCTACAAGCCTGGTACATAAAAAAATGTTTTGTTCAGACAATTTACATATAGGAGAGAGTGTTATTTTCTTGGCTGCAACTGACACTAAGAAATGTTAGAATAGTAGTGGTGTTTTGCTATTTTGAAGAGGTTGATACTTACAAATTAAGCAAGTACCCTGATTTTGGTTGTTTAGGACACAGAAAATTACTTTACAATGCTCATCTGAAGGACTAATGTTGTCTTGGCATATTCTGTAAAGTTGCCCATGTATTTTTACTGATTGATTTATGTCGAGTACACTAAACATTCTGCTAAGCCATATAGGTGGAAAATTGAGTTGTTATTTTTTTTTTCCGAAGCCCGTGGACGTGCATCAAAACAAACTTCCCCCTGTGAACAAAGAAAGTGAACCGTGAAATCACAGCACACAAAAACGTGCAAGGTCCTTCCAAAGAAGGGACCTACTTCCTGACCCCCCGGGGCGCAAGGCTCCTGACAGGGGTTGAGACTGTTGGCCCACCAACCCGAAGGCCGGTGGACCCCGATCCTTTGGGGACCTGCGGAAACAGGTCCCACACAGTACTAGGCAGGGGGGATCTCCCGAAGAGAAACTCCTTTCCTGGGTGGGAGGAGACAGAGAACCCCGTAGGAGGCACAGAATCTCCTCCCAGCATCAGGAATAGACCCCGAAGAAACCTGCACCTTCAGCATCTGTGGGTCGTATAACGCTTTTAAAAAAAGCCAATCGTGCATCGTGCATTAAGTGCAATAAATAATAGTGCCAGTGCACCACGCTGACAGGCCTTAGGGGCCGAGTGCAAAAAAATTGCCCCGGACTAGCCATAAGGCCTGTCCAAGAGGCATTGTGCAGAAAATTGCAATGTGGTGTGTGACCGAGTGATCAGTGAGTCAACGTGGGGTCCCACACCCAAGTGACTTCCTGAGCACCCCTGGGACGCCACCCCCAACACACCACGGGCATCTGCCGCCCCCAACCCTCCAGCCAGACCAAGTGGTTCTCCGTTCATACCAGGAGGAAGTGCCATCGGGGGTCCTCCCGCTGTCTGGGATCTACCCGTAACCTCAGAGCCTGACGCAACCAGCAGCGGACCGAACCATCCTCTGACACCCACCAATTACACCAGAGGGTACTCAAATGCTCTCCCATAGGGCAGCAGCATCCTTTCCCCTCCAACAACTGATAAGAACAGATACTACACTTGATCTTAGCCAAAAGGCAGAGAAGCGAGTTGTCATTTACTTACCTAGTTTAATTTCTTCTTTCTTGTATGATAAAGCTTGTTGTAATTGGTGTGTATTTCCTACACCTGATATACTCTGTTGCTTCTGGTGAGCATTTATTATATTTAGTTACATGCAGTGGCGTAACAACCGGGGGGGCAGCAGGGGCGCGGGCCCCAGGCGAAAAGTGAAGGGGGGGCGACGGGCAAAAATGCCACTTTCGGCTAAATGCCGAAAGTGAAATTTTCCTGCCGTTTTGTCGGCGCGGCCGTGATTCCTTTCATCCCCGCTGGGACACAGAGCAGTGCCCAGCGGGGATGAAAGGAATCAGAGAGAAAATGACAATTGTGTCTAAAAGAGATGTATCTGTTTACAGGGTTTCGGGTTATGAAGCTACTGTGTAGTGTTTTGAGAACATTTGGCTGTCAGCCAAATGTTAACTGATAATATAGCAATGTATTGGTCTACTGCCTAAACAAAATGCAAGAAGACACTAAGAACTTGTCCACAAGTTGTTATTACAGAGAAACTCAGGAGCCATCTTGTGGTAAAACAGTTACATAGCTTGGAAGATGTTGTGGTACATAAACAATATATAAAATCACATAAAGTTGTTTAAAGCATACTTAAAAGCCTAAACTTTTTTTTTTAGATAGAGGGTTGAACAACTGCCAGTTTTTTTTCCCAATCTGTATTTCATTAGGGTGATTTCATTTCACTTACTGTCCCAGTTTTTTTTCCCAATCTGTATTTCATTAGGGTGATTTCATTTCACTTACTGTCCTGCTGAATCAACAGGAAGCAAAAATATGTAATTCCAATGGGAGGGATATCCCTCTTAGAGAGTGGTCATGGGAATAAGTGTCTTCATTGAAAAATGTATCCTCTAATCCTGTTCTGGTAGCAACTCAAATTTTGGATTCACCCTCCCTATTCTAATTGGACATCAATACCAACCTGACAGTGGTTCCAACCCCTTGGCACTCTAAAGCTAAAAAAATGATGCCTTTAGTTACACTTTAAGTATACCTGTATGGTAACTTAGCATCATCAACTGACGGGTTAAAATAAAATATACCCTTTCTTCCTTGTTAAACCTTTGTTGACTAATGTACAAAAACTGATATGTATATTAAATAACATCTTAATATACCTTAGATCTAAGTGTTGTCCACATTTACGCAAAGTACAGTCACTATGCGGCATGTTCCGAATGCCAACTATGCCAAAAATAATTTCCTGCATGGAAGACATGCAAAAATTTAAACTGTAAGCATGCGGGAAACCCCCATGCATGTTACCTTGCTGTTACTACTTTACCTGATGTGGGAGGAACTGCAGCCCTCACAGAAAGTCAAGAGTATGGAAGAGCAAGGAAGAATGGAAAACAAGAAAGAAATAGAGTGGAACACATAAACACACATGCTAAAGTGTTTAAGTATGAAAGACAATGAGAAACCAGTCTGGAACGGAATTTCTGCATCTAAATTGATTCCCGGTTTAAATACTGCATACATCTAAGAAATTATATTCCAACAGATGATAATAACTATACGCAGGCATAGTCCATGGCAAAACATTTACAAATTTCATCAGTCATAATATCTTGCAAGACATCAAATATCCATCTGCACCTTGATTCACTCTATGGTCAGACTATTGCTACATCATAAAATCCCACAAATCTCCCAGTTGTCTTACCTTCATCTTGTCTGAGAGGAGTATCAACAGTGACGACTTCTCCAACTCCAACCTGGGTCCTGGCACTCAGCGTGATTCGATAGCGTGAGAGAGGATCTGTTCTTGTCAAGGTGTATTTTGTCAGATTTGGTGACAGCACCTCTACCACTGCTCTTGCAAATCTGGTACCATTAACTGATTGGAAATTGTAATGAATATTATCAGATTTACCAAATAAAAACAAAAGTGCTTGAGTATTCTTTATGTTACACAATTTTTTCTTAAATATCTGAATAGTCCATTCTCCATTAAACTTTAAATTCACTCTTATAGTGGCTTCCAATTGTTAAAGAAGAACTCTGGGCTAGAAGGGTTAAGTGCTCGCTTGTGTCTAGGTGCTAAAAAAAAAAAAAAAAATCTAAGCCACTTTGGTCTTAGACCAGTGTCTCGAGCATCTCTCCCTCTCTGCTGCAGCGGTCAAAGGATCCTGGTGTCATCACGCTTCATATACTGTGCTTAGACTGTGTATAGACGTGAGGACGCTGAGAAGCAGTCCATCTATGCAGCGAGGAGACGGCATGCTTCAGTGAACACAGAAGCAGGGAGCCAGCTTGGATGCTCTGGTGCGGGCTGTGGAGAAAGGGGCACCTTGCAGCACTGAGCCTCTCTTTCTGCTCCCCAATACTCCTCAGCTCCATGTGGGTTCCTCCTTCCTGGCTCCCAGCCTTCCCCCAGCTACAGCTGCCTGAGCTTTGATCTCTGGCACAGAGCCAGCAGATCAAAAGGGGTCATCTGCAAATCTTCTGGACTGTAGACTGAGCAGACCTGCAGTGCTTTCCCCCCCTGGTCCCCCTCCCTCTGTCTTGTTTGCTTTCGCAGCCGTGAGTCTGCAGATCACAAGAGCCCTGCTGTAAACCTACCAGCAGGGGGTCTGGACACTGGGCACTGAGATAAACTACCCATGCCCAGTACAAATCTCCCGTTTCCCACCAATTCAGCCTCCCCAGAACAAAAAAGACACAGGTGGATGAGGCTAGTTGCTCAGCAACATCTTTGTTCCCTCGCTGTGGACCTTTTGAACTCTGTAACCTGTGTGAACCTGAAGCGTGCAGCCAGGCCTCCCGGACTCCTCCTGCTCGACACAGGAGTTCCATCCAGGTGCCACTCTGCCTTCCTCATTCTTTGCCCCTGTTGTCTGATGCCTGTTACCCGGTGTACCTGATGCTGTGGCCAGGTCACTCCGGACCTTAACTACCTCCGGGCCGGCCGTAGTAAAAAACGGCCGGGAGCTCTCTAGATCTGAGCGGGCGTCTTTAGACGTCCGCTCAGACACGCACCCTCGCGAGCCGCCCGGGAAATGGCCGCTATTTAAAAACAGGCAGTGATGCCTGTTACCATACAAGCGATCCGGTGGATCGCGTGTATGGGGTGCCGATCGGTGTCCCCCCCCGCCGCAGTTGTCCCGCTGACCCCAGGCTCCGCTGTGCCCGGTGCGAGCCCGGGATCAGCATGTCGCCTGTGTCACAGGGGATCAGAGGGATCCCTCTGCAAGAATGCGGAAGTGTTGTATATACATCACTTCCACATTCTTGTGTCACTCTCCAGCTTCAGAAGCTGGAAAGAAGCTTATGGAGCAGATCTGTGCTTCATCAGCTTCTTTTGGGTGGTCCTAGGTGACATTAGGGGTCTTGGAGACCACTGATGTCTCCATAAAGAGGACCTGTCACATATTTTGCTATCACATAGGGGGGTTTTATTAGCCCCCGTATGTGATAGCAATAAAGTTTAGTGGAAAAAAAAAAAGGAAAAAAAAATTAAGTTACACATAAAAAAGAATAAAAAAAATGTTTTAAGTCCCCACCCATACATACACGCATGCAAACATGCATCGGGGCGCATACGTGCAAAAAAGACATGTTACATATTGCCGCAAACGTCGGAGTGAGAGCAATAATTCTAGGGCCATCAATCACTGATAACACTAAACTGATGAGCGGTAAAAGCTTTTAAAGTGTCGCCTGTGGCCAATTTTGGGTATGTTTTTTTTATGGGTAGTTTTCTGCGATTTCGCGGGTGCCCGCAATTTTAAAGCTTGACCTGTTTGATGTCTATTTACCCGATGTGACCCGATCTTTTATATTTTATCAAATAATAAATGTTTCCTAACAATGTTAAAAAAAACTTTTTTTTTCCCAAAATTTTCTGTAATTTGTCCTAATTATAGAAAAAATTAAAACCCCAGTGGTGTTTAAATACCACCAAAATAAAGCTCTATCTGTCCCCAAAATTTTGTATAAAATTCATTTCAGTACAGTGTTGCATGTCGGAATAAACGTCAGTCAAAGTACCGCAGCGCTGAATACTGAAAAATGGCCTGACCAGGAAGGGGGTCTAAACACCTGGTCTTGAAGTGGTTAATATTTTCCCAGGTGCCAAGGATTTTCCTCCAGAAGGATCCTGCAAGCCTCCCTCTGCGGATCACTTTGCCTGGATCTCCCTCCACCAACCCAACCCAACCAGCTACTCAGGACTGTCAGATGCCTACTGTGTGAGTTGCTTAACCTTTCTCTTCTGCCCCTTGCTGTGCCTGTGACTACTACTTTACTGCTGCCCTATGAACTGATGCCTGTGAACTGTTACCCAGTGTCCTTACTGCTGAACCCTTATCGTGCCTAGAGTGCCCCTGGTCTTAAAGGAGAACTATGGGGTCAGTGTTTTTCCCCATAGTTCTCCTTAGGGTAACGGGAGGACACAAACTAGCGTCCTCCCGTTACCCTAAGCTCAGTATATACTGAGACGCGGCAGCCGGAGCGGATCCCGACGTAGATGACGGGATCCGCCCAGCTGCGTGAGTGACAGCTGTCTCTGCCTATCTAGAGGAAGAGCCAGCTGTACCCGCCCCATCCCCCGTCCGTTCCGCCAGTCAGCGCTGGCAGATCGGAGCGGGGAGAGGGGAATCCAGCCCCTCCCCCAGTCACGGCAGAGAGCGGTGACAGGATCGGAAGGTGAGCGAACCTGGTATGTGTTCGCTCACCTCCCGATCTACTGAGCCGACCTGTGACAGTCTCATTGTCACAGGTCGGCTAGAACTATGAGGTGAGTGGAAATCACTCATCTCATAGTTCTCCTTTAATCATTGCTACCTCATATTATTTGTTGTCTCCCTGTCTGCACCCCACCTATAGCTTGCTTCCACTTCTGTGTAGTGGAATTTTTCCAACACCCTGCAAGTTGGGTCTCATGTGATTCTCCTCTGTGCTCCTAGTTTGTCACAAGTATAACTTTGTTTTAGCATTTAAACAAAAACAAGCAGTTAACCCTTGCAGTGGGGGTAGCCCCACTGCAAGGGTTAATATATGTTTTAAACAGAGTTCTTCTTTAAGAAAAAACCCAATGCACTAAAATGAGGCGGTGTGTATTTATTTACAACATATACTGTACATCTCCCGTGTGGCACATGGACCCTTTGTTTCCATACAAACTTCTTTGTCCTTGAGAATATGCAGCTGCTTTACAGATGCAAAAACAAGCAGAGCTGTGTCAACCGACTTCCAGGTCAGAAAACCATGCAAACCTTTTTGCAAAGTCACATTGGGGGGGGTTATTTAAAAGTGTCTGAGATAAACTTTGTCTCAACTAGAGAGCAGCCAATCAGCTTTTAAATTTTCCTTTTCTGAACTGTGTGGAAAAAATGAAAGATAGAAGCTGATTGCTTCCTATGGCAAACCACATCAGTTAAGATAGAACTTGTCTCAGAAACTTTTTATAAATTCTAACTAATCTATCAATTAGCTAGAAACTACAACTAGCACAATACAATTAGGCACTCGGAAACGACTTTTCATTATTTGTATTCATTTTTCAATAAATTTGCAATACACTTTGCGTACCATAGCAAAGAGATGGCATTTGACACTACTATATCAACTACGCCTTGAGCCTATTTACTATAAAAGTGCCAACAACTTGGTGGCAGATACCTTCTCTCAAAGACTATGTGAGGCTGGTTTTTTTTTTTACTGATTACATAAATTCATTATTCACACATTTTCATATTTCATTTACTTTTGACCCGGATGATTTATATTTGTAATTTTCTAGGCAAGCCATAAAAAGATCCATGAAGGTATTGTTTAGGGTACAGATGACAGGCAGCAGCTTCAAGCTCTCAAAGAACACACACATTATACCTTCCAAGCAATCTTTTGTTTTTTAATCTTGCATTTGATAGATTTTCTAAATTAGGCACATACAAAATAATACACTATTTTTGAAAATATACTATTCTTTTAACAAATCTCCTGTGAATTAAGCATGAATGAAGCATATCAATTACATATTTCTCCAAATTCTCTTTCTAAGCTACTGGAATTTGCTAATGGCAATACTTTTTTTTAACAGACTGACACTTAGCCTTAGGATCAAATGTATACCCGATGTATTGCCAATCCCCAACTCTGCTGCATGAAAACACTTTACTAAGTCTACTAGGAAACCCTTGAGATTTCTTTTTCTGCAGAAGTTCATTAGGGATCACAGCAGACTTTTGTGTACTGTATACGCCCTGCCTCTAGGAAGCTGAACACTTGGCAAACCAAAAGGCACAGCTCCTCCTAGTGGATTGGCTCTCTGCGCATACTAAGAAAGTCCCCAGAGTAAGAAACAGTAAAAGAAAGTGTAACATAACATAGACTTCTGACAAATACATTGCTACATAGGGCAACAGTGAGCAGGATCTTTGTCCCCCAATTAACCATTGGTGAAAAGATTTTATGGGGAGTTAAAAAATCAATTGATTTGTCCCAGAGTTCAATGGAGGACATGGTACACCTCTGGGATGTTTAAAATCATTACCCCAAAAAGGGACACCAACAGGTAACCCTTAAGTGTCCTGGTGCTGCTGAATCACAGTCATCTCTAAGACTATTCACCCAAAACTGGCATCAGGCAAACCCTAGACTTCTGCATGATAGAAGTTTGTAAACATGTGGACAGGGGACCAATTATCAGCCTTGCATACCTTGGAAATAGATGTGTGATGCTGAGAGGACCAAGAGGCACCCACTGCTTTGGTAGAATGCGTAAGATTAAAGTGATATTAAAGTCAAAATATTTTTAAGCTATTTCAAATGCAGATTAAATCACTTACAATGGCTGCTGCTCTTTGATGTAATGTTTAAGTTTCCTGCAAAATTATTTGGTCCCCTGAGCACTGGTCTTGATTTCCTGTTTTAGGTTGGCTGCTATCCCTGGCAGGGTATGGATAATGTGTGTGCTAGTAACCTGTGTGTGTTTCCACACACAGGTTACTGTTGCCTGCTCCCCTCTCCTCCTTACTCCCTCCTTCTAGCTAGTAGATGGACTGCTGCTGGAGACTGCTGTGTCCCTTGTGATCTTGTAATGGACAGGAAGTTCAGGGAAGCTGAGAAGAGAGAGTTGGAGCTGTTTGGAAACATGGTGACTGTACGTGCTTGAGGAAAAATGTAAAGAAATACTGTGTTGAGCAATGTATATTTGTTTGCTCTAAATTCATTATTGAAAAACATTGAGAGTTTAATACTTCTTTAAAGTTTAACTCTAGGAAGGTATAAAATACACAGATGCCCCGTGTATCTATTAATACATTATTGAATGTATTTTTAATGCAAGATGTGTAATAACTTGAATTTGGCTTGGTATCAACCTCTTACCCTGGTTAGTAGAGAGGAAGAAGCAGCACAAGGAACCAGTTTTGTTGCAATTAGGGATATAGCTGCAGCTAACGATTATTTTCAAAATCGATTAGTTAGCCGATTGAGTTTGATTAATCGGTTAATCGGATAAAAAATAAAATACATTTTAAAAAATGGCTCCAGTGATGGGACTACTAGTTTGTATTGAGATTGTAGTCCATCAAAGGAGCAAGCTTATTAGGGATGCACCGTTACCGATACTAGTATTGGTACCGATGTCGAGTATTTAAGTGAGTACTCGTACTCGCCCAAATGCTCCGATGCCTAGCCCGATACTTGAGCTTCCGGAATCACTTGTGACGAGGGAGCATGGAGTCGACTTCCCGGCCAATCAGGAAGCAAGGCAGCGTGTCATTACACGACCCCGATTGACCGGGAAGCCATCTCCATACTCCCTCGTCACACGTTGCCCGGCTTCCTGATTGGCCAGCTTCTTGACCAATCAGGAAGCCGGGCAACCTTTAGGACCTGCAAATGTTACACAACTGCAGCAGAGAAAAGTCAGGTATTTGGCACTGCCATTAAAAGGTATGTGCTGTGTGGTAGAGCTGTATGTTTGGACTGGGTGAACAGAAAAAAAAATCTTTTGGCATGTAAAACAGCTCCCATATACATATTTCTATGGTGAATTTATCGGTTTGCCTGCAGTTTTAAGGTTCCATGGAGCCATGGGGAACTAGAATATCTATTCTCTATATTCACTATAAGTTATAGTGGGACTTGACATAAATGTGTGCTTGTACCTGCTGGCAAAACTGTTGAACCTCCAGCTGACCTGTTCTTTTTGGGCAAGTCAGCCAGTTGCTGCTGGATATCCTAGTGTGCAGGTGGAAGAAAAATGTTTTCCTTATGAATTGTGCATTTAATTGGAATTGTCACTTTGTATGAATTTGATATTTTATATGAATATCTATAACTCACCTTTTATATTTCAGAGTGCTACACTTTTTTTATATTACTCATAGAAACCATACCATCTCATTTCAGTACTGTTAAGTCTAAAACAACACCCCAGAAATGCTCCTGATCTGGTACAGGGACCATGACTCTTTGATAAACTAAACCCTGTAATATCTTGAACAGAACTACTACAAACAGGGATAACCTTTACCTCTGTAAGATTGGATACAGATGGGTCCACCAGCGGTGATGCTGCCTACTTCTTCACAATTCCTCGGAGAATGGGTGGAAGGTTTCAAAGCATTTGGCAACAGAATGTGCTCTAGCAAGACCTTTTAACTCTCTAAATAGAATTCCATCACACTGCTAATATCAAATGTTGATTTGAAATAAACTAAGCAGGACACGTGTGTGGGTGAAAGCCCAGATCTTTGGCTGCATCACTCTCAAATATCCATCCTCTATATTGGCCATGGGCCGCAGCTGAAGTCCCTGGGGAGGGAGTGGGGGTCGATTACTTGAGCCCCTATAGGAAGGACAAGTGCCCAATGTCTGGACTATTAACTTAGATTGTTTGGACAGAAAATTTCCCAACACAGAAGGTAACTGTGGAGAACCAGAGATACTAATTGCATCCACAATTCAGTTAAATCAGGTAGCTCAGCGGGAGTTTTACAAGCATCACTGGTCAACTCAACTTGACCATAATCATCCTTAAGGTTTCAGAGTACACATGAAAATTTCAAAACAGGCTGCGGAGATCCACCACCATTAGCATGGTGACTTTTTCCCTTTTTGTTGTAATACATGCTGCCAGAGTGAAAATGAAAGCAGTATGAAAAATAGCAGGTGGTGGTCTTTAAGAGACCAGAACACTGGAGCTGACCAGCACTCCTAGGCCTCAGCCCATGTAGCTGCAAGGGGTTAAACAAGGTGGAAGCAGTAACTATTTCCATTGAATAGTCAATGCGGTGAGGATGCATCCACTGGACATCCTAATGGTGCTGTCCCCTGACATTGTTAAGAATGGAAATGCAGAGAGAAGCAAAGCAGGAGAGATGCAGATAGGCATCTTGCACAAATGTTTTCCTGCTGTAAAAGATAGTTCTAATGTGTGCTCTGCCTATTGTTCCTGCTAGAGGTAATCCAAAAAACGCATCCTCTAGAAAACAGACTGGAAATGTTCTTACCTACCTAGAAGAGTAACATATATTCCTGGGTAGGGATAGAGACAATGGCAGCCGAGTGGGAGTAAAAGAATGGCAGCACAATGTAAGTAAGAAAATAAGTGATCACTACATGCAGTCAACTCCTTCAGCCCCAGTTAAATGTTTAGTCAAGTAGAATAAAGTGATGATAACCAGTCCTAGGGGAGGAGGACTGGTTATCATCACTTTATTCTACTTGACTAAACATTTAACTGAGGCTGAAGGAGTTGACTGCATGTAGCGATCACTTATTTTCTTACTTAGGATTCAGTGGACCCACTCTTACAGTCTACTTACAATTTGTAAAAACATCAGTGAGTCTCTGGTTCTGACAGTTTACACTGAGCTGCAGTGCTGCAGTAAATGTTATGGATAGATGTATTGTCTATGTAGGATAGTGTGAATATATCTCAGTATCTTGATCCAGCAGAGCTGGAGAGAGATGAGCTCCTACGATCTAAAGCTAAACTGGTGTTGCTTAGTATGTGCAGGGGATGTAGTCACTAGTAGGAGCTGTACCCTTTGATTTGCCCAGAGGTCCCTCAGTGAATGCAGGGAGAAAAAACTGTCTACATTTTTTTGGGTTTATAACTGTGTCAGCACAATTTAAAAAAAAAAAAGTGGAAAAATAATCTTAGATTTATTTTGTACTATGCTCTGTCACCACTCCCGCACAAACAAAAAAAAGCATGATGCCACAGTGTCTACACTTATGCATAAAATCAAGCTCATAGCCTTCTAACTTACAGGTTTTTCCCAAATAATGGTCAATGCACTGGCACCATCTGAATTTCAGTCTTAGTCCTCATGTGTGCAGGCTTGAGCACAGCCATGATCATCTATGGATTTTTGAGTCTCCACTACTAGTTCATCCAGCAGTGTCAGTAATATCAAGCTTAATTTAAATCTGTCAAGAGAAGCTATTTCTATCATGTTCTTCTGAAAATGCTAAGGCCTTACTGTAACAGACTGAGTCACTCACCAAGAACAAGTATGCACACAAAAACTTCCCTGACTTTAATCATTTTGAATACTTTTTCCAGGTCAATGACTCAAAAAGTTATGAAGACAGTGGAAGCGGATAACCGGCAGCAAACTAGATCAGCAGTGGCACACTTTATACCTCATTTCTCTGACGGGTATACATTACAAAATTAATCCTGTCACACAGTGCATGATTGCAGGCTATATTACTCACATGTTTGGTAGCGTAGATTATATCCAGTTATATTTCCATTGGGATGTTCTGGAGGACTCCATTCCAAATTAATTATTTCACGATTTGGCTCACTGAATCTAAAGTTCTTAGGCTGACTGGGTACTGAAAAAAAGTTTTGTTAGCTTGTATGAGGGAAGTAAGAAGAGTGTCCACTTTATGTGTGTGGTTCCTAAGTTTTGGAATGCAATATTTTGTTTGAACTAGAACCACAATTAAGTCTTTGAACATATCTGTTAAAAGAAAACAAGCTCTTATTTTGACTCAATTTATTTGGCAGATTTTTATAGCTCAGTGATTTATCAACAATTGACAATAAATTAAGGTTCCCATGTCTAAAAGTAACTGTTAAATATAATATTCCACATATTACAGTATATAGAAACACTTAATGTCCTCCAGTATGGAAAACTTACCGCCCTCTGGTGTGGTAAACTCCTTAATATCACTCTTCGGGCCATCCCCTCGCCCATTCACTGCTACCATGTATAATTTGTAGTTGCTGTAAGGTATCAGGAATGACACAATCCCTCGCACACGATCTCCAATAAAACTCTGCTGTAGCTTCTTTCGAGAGACCCAGTGTCCCCTCAGGAAACTACTGTCCCTCCAGTAATAAGCCTTCAAGATATACAACTCAATAATTTAACAGCTACTATTTTATTAGTGGGAGGTTAGCCGGGTTTTAAAGGGAGTTAAAAAACAGTCAGGGGGACACTGGTTAGCACCATTTTCAATTTTAAATAAATAACAGTCACATCCTTGATACTGCACAATGGTTAGACATAGCTCACATGATGTAAGAGCAAAGTAATGCTGCTTTCAAATTATTTACTGTATCAATTCAACATTGGTTAGCTGGTAACTGGGTCACTTAGTGAACATAGGTTGAAAATTAATAAGGAGTGTTTCCCCCTATCCATGTTATTTAGATATCACTGGAGTGGTATAAGTATAAGCTGGAGGTTCTGCTCACTCTGTATTCCACAAGGCTTCCTTGGATAGAAGCAGGGGTCACACGACTCCACTGAAGGGAGATGGCAGTGCTGTTCATGACCCTTAATTTAATGTCTGTGGGTGCTGCCTTAGGATCTGAGGGCAAAAAAAAAGCTTTAAAACAAAGCTAATTATGAATCAGCGTTTTCCTCTCATTCTTTAGACTTGTTATACTGTCTTCTGCTTCAGTCTGTTCAGTTCATTAATTATTGTACCAGCCACAAACAATTCTCTCTAAAACGCTCATGATATGCAAATGACTGGTACCAGAACTACACCAACAACAAACAAGTCAATACCAAGATAAGCTTTCTTTGCATCATGGTATATCCTGAAACCGAGTTTTCTTACACAGGAAAAAATTAAACTTATTTTGCATCTGACATTCAAAAGGCATTGGACAGTGTTAATTTTTAAAAGATTTTTTCTAATGATGGTTTAATCTTCACATACCAATTTTAAATTCCAACAGTCCTATGGAGTTTAAAAAAAAAAAAAAAGAATAAATGCACTTTAACACACCTTTACTCATCAATAAGTATTAGACGGAAATGTTTTGTTTTAACTGAAATAGGTTTATCATAAGAAGATACCATTTTACTAATAAGTACTACTCTATACCAAGATATGGAGTGCTGTCTACATACTGATGCAAAAAAATACATACTGATATTAATAATTTATAGCCTAGAGATATAACCTGATGTAACAGGATCACCTACAGCAGGGCTCAAAATTTCAAGTCCTGAGCTACTAGCCAGGCCATAAGAGTTACTAGCCACCAGTTGCCCCACTTAACCCTTACCCTGCCCCAGCCTCAACTCCACCCCTAAACACGCCCCCCTAAATAATCTTATGATAATTCTTATCTTATGATAGTTGCCGCTTGTAAATGGCAGATTAGGGATTCCTGCTGCAGGAAAACGCAAGTTCCTGACACAGGAATCTCTAATCACACCTGAAATATACTGTAGGTGTGAATGGGGCCTAATATACACATACATTGTATGATAATCTGCAGGTGTATGGGCAGCGTGCGACCGCTTCTACTTTAAGGTCGTACGACTTTCATCTTCCAAGCACGCTGGAAAACCCGCTGAAAATCGTACGATTTTTGTTGCGTGGTCGTTAGATGAATGCCGCACGGGTCGGTGTGCGCAAGCGCACACTGCCCGCTCAGCCCTGCAATCATCGGCAGCCCTCCCCTCAGCGGGAGGGCTTCCAATGATCGCAAGTATGATCTGCCTGTCCAAGACGGGCAGATTGTACGAGATTTTATGACCTTACAACCATCGCATAATGAAAGTCGTGCAATGGTTGTAAGGTGTATGGGCAGCTTAAAACACAATAATACACTTCTCAATGTTACACCCCCCCCCGCACAAATATAATAAAATTCCCCCTGCATGCAGACCTCGCTAATCACCCCCAGATAACCAGGGATCGATCCTCCTCCTCACATACATCCTTTCTTTCGGCTTGAGCTCAGAATTGTCAGAGCTCCGGCCGAAGGAAGCCGGAGCTGACAGGAGCTGCTCTGCGGTCTGCATCCGACACAGATGCAGACCGTGGAGCTGCTCCCACAAGTCAGGTACAGCGTTGGCCCGCGGACCGGTACTTGGAGACCCACATTTCCACTCGCTCACTTTATTTTTACTCGCCAAATGCGAGCAGGCGAATGGAAATTTTGAGCCCTGACCTACAGTACTCTAAACTTTTCTTCACTCCAGGTTGATTCACTGTAAATTTTTAATGAACCCTCAGCACTGTATATTACTTTTTTGATAGTCCTATTTAAAAAGGTGCACTATCAGAAACGACAAATATAAGGCATGTTCTAATGTTTTGGTGCCAGGAAAAAAAATATATAAAAACTTAAATTGTAACTAACAGAACTTCTCAATCAAAGACACAAAAGGAAAGAAACTAAAGATGCTTCTGTAGAAACTCACAATGAATACAGCTAAATGGAAAGAAAGATAATATTATTAAGACATAGTTATACAAAATATAAATCAAAATCAATATTTAAACCCACAGGTTGAACAGTATCCAACTCTATGATCTAATGCACTTGTATGTTGGAAGTGCCTGAATCATCTTCTTTTGGTATAACAATCAAGTACGTATCAAACATGGCTATGCTATAATGTCCAGAAGGTAGATCATATTACATACTAGGTGATTTTTGTATATGTGCATAACTAATGTTTGTTCTCTATCAAAACCTGTTTTTCTTTATGCAATATTGTGTTGGACCATAAAACATGGCTATCTGGAAATATTGTTGCATTTAGAAAATGTGGTTTTGAGGGAGTTTCCACTAAAATATATCATACCCTTTGATTGGTTAGGTCATTCCTGTAAACACCCAGAGGGTCAACGGTTTGGATTCTGTTGAAACCAAAGACCATATATACTTTGCTAAGTATTTTTCATGTTTAATCCCATTTTTTTCCCTGTTTACTTATTGTCTGTTTTGTTATATACTTCTCCTGTAAACATTTTCGTGCAGCACTGCCCCTTTCTTTTCATTAACCACTTAAAGACCAGGTGCTTACAACCCCTTCCTGGCCAGGCCATTTTTCAGTATTCAGCACTGAGCACATTTATTCTGTCATGCAACGCTTTACTGAAATACATTTTATACCATTTCTTGGGGACAGATAGAGCTTTACTTTGGTGGTACCGTATATACTCGAGTATAAGCCGTCCCGAATATAAGCCGAGGTACCTAATTTTACCAGATCACCACTGGGGTTTAAAAAAAAAAATTCAATAAGCTTTTATTGGTATAGAAAAGTACAACAAAAAAATGTCCATTACAAATGGTGGACTGGTGATCACATAGGGATAAAAGCAATGTTGTGTACTGGACATTGACACATCGGTGGTTGTAGCAGCAAGTAGGAAGTGCACCAGATGGCATTAATAATCAGCAATCACAGTCCGCTATTGCATAGGTTTTTATTTTTTACTATATTAAGGAAAAATTACCGAAAATGTTGTTATAATACATTTAATAGATTTATTATTACCCAATTTTTTGTTAAAATATAAAATATGGGGTCACGTTGGGTAAATAGACACCAAACATGTCAAGCCGAAATTGCAAAAAACAACCATACCCAAAATTGACATAGGCAATGCTTTAAAAGCTTTTACCACTCATCAGTTTAGTGTTACCAGTGAATAATGGCCCTACAATTATTGCTCTCACTCCGACGTTCGCTGTGATATGCAACGTGCAGTGTAATGGGCGCAATCGTCGTTTTCGCACGTATGCGCACCTGACACGTTTGTGCACGCGCGTATCTATGGGTTGGGACTTTAAAAGAAATTTTGTGTTTTTTAAAATTCTTTTTTATGTGTGACTTTCATTTTTTTTTTTTTTTGCAACTTTTATTTTTTTCCCTAATTTTTTTCACTTAACTTTATTGTTATCACATAGGGGGCTAAGAAGTGGCAGGTCCTCTCCACGACCTCTAATGTCACCTAATGACCCCCAAAGAAGCTTCTCTCCAGCTGCTAAAACCAGAGAGTGACAGCAGATTGCGGAAGTGATGCAGACATCTCAACTCTCCCGGACGCTCCCGCTATTAGATAGCGGCTCCCGGCTGCCCGGGAGAGAAACATTTTCTCCCGGAAAGGTTTAATCTGCTCTATCAAGCAGATTAAACCCTTCCCTGCGAACTGGTGATGTAATATACATCACTTCCTGCATTCTGACACCGGAGAGGAGATCGGAGGGAGATCATATGCTGATCTCCCTCTGATCCCATTCCAGAGCTGTCGTGCTGGGGACAACGGAGCTTTGGAACTATAGCCTGTTTAAAAACTTTGACAGTTTCCTGCTCATGCGCGTTAGTGGGTGGGGCTAACGGGCTGTCTTTTGACGGCCACTCACATCCAAGAAGTTCCCAACTGGCCGTTTAACAATAATGGCCAGCCGGGAGGCGGTTAAATAATGTTTCAAGCTCTTTAGGGTTAAATCTCTAAATTTTGTAATCAGAAATGTAAGAACCCTTGCCTTATTGAAGAAAGCTACCATATTTTAAACTCCTGGTTGGCATGGCAGTGAGTGTCACAGATATTTAGAATTGCCACAACAGATATTGTGAATGATACGTGTTTCCGTTATAACACATGGTGGCAACTACTCTTTGTGCGTGTAAAAGGTTAACCCTGCAGTTAAATACCCCAGTGATGATCACTCTCAGTCTGCTGGCATGTAGGATTGTTGCCCTGAAGGCTGGAAAATCTCTGCACGTGGTGAGACAGAGTGTGACATATCACATTATGATGGCAGTGGTGGGATTTGAGCATTCTGCTCACAGGGGAGACCACACATGAGCGTTTCAAATATCTATATGAGCACCTCAAATAGAGTTACCATTGGAAAAAAAACTTTATATAACAAACATTTGGTGCCCCAATTGAGATTCATGATCATAGATCAGATTTCTAAGCTTTGCAGAGGGGGAGATAGGGAGTAACAACTGAAATGCAGAGAAGTGTAAAAAATCACAGACCTGGCTACTGTTCAACCTAAGGGTTTAAACATTGATTTTGATTTACATTTGGTTTTATAACTGTGTCTGGAAGCATTATTTTCTTCTTTCTTTCTATTTAGGTGTCTCCACTGTGAGTCTCTACAGGAGCATCATTAGTTGGTTTCCCTTTCTGTCTTTGAATTAGAAGCTGAGTTAGTTGTTATAATTGTTAATTGATTTATGTTACACAGATATTCCGTTTTCCCCAATATTTAGCCATTATGTTGTATCTTTCTAATTAGGTTTGCTATACCAGATAAAGGATCTGCAGAGATCCAAATCTGTTATATTACATGCAAGCTTTGTCCTAATAAATACACCAGCTGCTGCCTCATAGTATATCAATCTCAGTAACTGCCTTCAGGGCCTAATCACCCATATGCACTGTGTTAGCACAAGCACATTGAGTAACACGCTGCACTTTAACAAAGCCGTAGCTATAGTGGCGTATCTACAGCGAGGCGTTTTCCTTGAGCGGCACTATCCAGGGGGTGGCAAAATGCCGCCCCAAAACCAGTGAGGCAGTTAGTGGCAACAGCCGAA